TGCTACAGAAACTGGGATAAGCTCCGGCCTGATGGGCCACTTGGCTCGCATGCAGACTTTACCTTACCTTCACCACTGATATTGATCGTGAAGCTCTCTCCTATGAGCCAACTGTTGATACAAGTGATTCTAACTGGAGGAGGAATCTTTGGGTAGAGATTATTGAGAGTCACAATGCAATGGAAACAATAGAAAGTGATGAAGATGAAGACACGGACCAACCTCTTAAAGTTCCTGAGGTGTCATCTGTCAAAGGTGCCCTTGGGCTCGCCAAGCAGTTGGTAGAATTTGCTGACTGGAGGGGTGAAGAACAACTATCCTTGGCGGTTGAATGTGTTCACGATTTTCTGTGTGATTCTCAGCTAAAGTCGCTCAAGCAATCATCTCTTGACTCATTCTTTACCAAAAAACGAGGTACGTTTATTTGTATAGATGTGGCCCTCCTAGATTAGCCCAGGCTACCTGCGGGTTTGCGCTGTTGCTATTGTCAAGCTTGTTTAACTTAATGAGTATATATTTCTGTAAAATTGTAAATATGCGAGTAATAATAATAAAGTGTTGTTGTAAGTGTTGTATCTACTGTAGTACGAGTTACCAGATACGGACCTTTCACTCAATGGAACTACATGTACACTTGACATTAAGAACCGTTCTTTTTTGCCTTTAGTTAGTTTTGCTTTTGTTTCAGTTTTAAAGCAGTATCAGTGCATTGCTTGCTCATTTGTGAAGTATTTTGTTCTTGTTTATGTCAGAAATGTACAACTTTAGTGACATATTAAACCACAACGTAAGTGACACTTGCGGCCCCTAAGAAAGTGTGTTGAGCTGTCGCACTGGGCCTTGTGATTATAACACCAGGATACATGTAAATATGGTAATCATTTTAAACAGTTCAAGACAACACCTTAAATTTATTAGATGCTCCTTGTTCATTAATTTTGTTAATGCACAGTATCTAAAACTACAACCAAAGAGATACACATGGTGTTTCCAGCCGTTTTCACTCACCATGAACACCTCATGCAATTGTACAACCAAGGTCTGAGGCCTATAGGTCTAGTGTTTTTCCTTCGCTTGTTAACATGCGAATCACCAATAATGTA